TGAAATTAGCATGCAATTAGACTAATCATACACAAATCAATGATTAATTATAATGAACATACAAGAAAAAATACCTACAAGGTCTTTCAGCAAAGACAATAACTTTGTCTCCGAGTGAAATACTTTCTAGATTTGGATATGAGTTCATTTTTCTCCCTCTGTGGTGATGATTATCTTTTGTTTCACTGAACTTACAGCCTAATAGGAATTCAAAGAGCACAGCATATTAACAGGGAGGGAGAGACTCCATACATAAGCTCAAAATTCATCTTTTTTTCTACCATTGGCTAATGTTTTAATAAACTGCTATCAAAACTACTTGTTTCTCCTAAAGATGTATAGCTTCGTAGCACTATTTACAATAGCAAAAACCAACTCTATTGCCCATCAAAACTGGGCTAGATAAAAAAAATGTGGTATATATGCATGATGGAATATTGCACAGTCAGAAAGAAGAACAAATTATGGACTTTGCAACAACCTGGATGGATTTAGAGTCTATAATATTCAGTGATTTATCACAGAAACAATGAACTGAGTACCACATGTCCTCACTCATGAGGAGACCCTGAACCTTTATGGTAATATTATAAGAAAGGGACTGGCAATAGCTGGAAACTACTGGGGGTGGGGAGTGGGACAGATAACAAGAAAAAGGGTACCTGATCTCAAACCAGGCAAGTGGGGACCAAAGAAAGGCCCAAATTTTATATGCATGATGACCACTTGTATATCTAAACCTGAATTGTACCCCATAGCTTAAAAATAAAAAGATGCCTAGCTTGGCGTTTCACTTCATTATTTATTCCCAAAAATAAGTTGGAAACACTGAATGCTTGGGAGATTATGCTCAAGACAGCTGGTTACCACTGGGAGACAGGTTTTCCTCATTTCTCCTATTACCTAAGTCACTATTTTAATTTCTCCAAGTCAAAGTAAGTCATTTGTGGTTATGAGCAACTTAGATTTAATGATTTTAATTGGCTTTCCAATGTTTCTAAATCTATTTTATAAAGAAAATTAAAATGTCTAAAATGTTCAAGTATATTTTAATTCTTTTGTTCTACCTATATGTTCCAAAATTTATAAAATAGACAAGTATCATAATTTAAAAATAGAACTGGCTGGGAGCTGTGGTTCACACCTATAACCCCAGCACTTTGGGGAGGCTGAGGTGGGAGGTTTGCTTGAGCCCAGGAGTTCAAGACCAGCCTGGGTGACATATTGAGACCTCATCTCTACAAAAAATAAAAAAATCAAAAATTTAGCTGGGTGTGGTGGCATATGCCTATAGCCCCAGCTACTCAGGAGGCTCACGTGGGATGATGGCCTAAGACCAGAAGATTCAGGTTGTGGTGAGCCATGATTATGCCACTGCATTCCATCCTGGGTACAAAGTGAGACCCAGACTCAAAACAAAAAAAAGAGCTATCTTAAATATCTTTCTTTTAACATGTTAAAGGGAATGGGAAATATTCCTAGACTCTAAAACCATTATAAAATGAGACAATTCTTAAACTATATTATTAAAAGTCAATACTGATCACAGCATCCCAAGCCATGATTACCAAGTAGGTTATGTTCTTCAGGTTGACATAGTGATTCATTTGCATATTGTTCAATCTTCCAGGAGTTGCAGTAATGATATCTACACCTTTTCTTAGGTCTTCGATTTATTTGTCTCTATCTCCACCACCATATACACAAACACTTCAAAAAAATCCAGGTTCATGGTTAGGAAAAAGAATATCTTACCACAACTCAAAATGCCAAGCAATCTAAGCATTTTAGGTCTATTTTTAAAAAGGCATAAAAATAAAAAAAGGTCATCAGCTGCCTTCAGTGACATCTGCGCCTTTCTAGAACTCTGCACACCCTTCAGTCCACAGTGTTGTCTCCTGAAGTGCCACATTTGTACTATTACTTGACCCCGTTGCCCAAGCTTAGTTGGTTAGATCAGGGGTAAGAATAGCCCTTTTGAGCCATTTAGAGTCTCTGGATGTGTGAGATATGATGGGGAGGATTATAAAGCTACTGGTGATTGGAGAACTGATGAAGTAATGGTTGAAAAAAGGACTTACTTCTAGGACCTCCATAGGAATACTTAGAACATTCAGCTTGCACTAGAAGAGCTAATTCCGGAGTACGTGTAAGGACTAGCATGCCAGGCCTATTCCTTTTTTCTTTAACCCTTTGGAGAGAAGACAGATTAATATTAAACTACCTGTCTCAGATGTGTGGCATGTTCAGTGTTTAAAATTTATAGCAATGTGCTCAGGTGTCGTGGCTCATGCCTGTAATGCCCACACTTTGGGAGGCCGAGGTAGGAAGACGAGCTAGAGATTAACTTGGGCAACATAGTGGGACCTCATCTCTACAAAAAAGTTTTTTTGTTAATTAGCTGGGTGTGGTAGCACATGCCTGTGGTCCCAGCTACTTGGAAGGTTGAGGTGGAAGGACAGTCTGAGCCCAGGAGGTCAAAACTGGGGTGAGCTATGAGCGTGCCACTGAACCGCACCCTGGGAGACAGAGTGAGATTTTGGCTCTCAAAAAGAAAAAAAAAGGTTTGTAGTAATGAGTATCAAAGTCAGAAACTATCACAGACATATATATGCCTTTTGTGACAAAGTGTACGGTCAGAAGTTCCCTCAATATACTACAGAGTGGATAAAGAGAAGGTGGTACATTCCCTTAGTTTGATCCACAAACCTAAAAAGAAGAACTGATATTATGTAGAAATGTAAAAATACTTCCCCTTAAGAATATTCGTGTATTTTCAAGGATTTAAGATTATCTTATCAAGAGTTTAGTGGTAGGTTTTTAATAAGTTCTTTCAAATTCCAATAGCAATGCACGTTTACCATGAAGTATGGAAATGACTTTAAAAAGCCACACACACACACACACACACACACACACACTAAGCCAACATCCCAAATATCAGCCTTTTTATTTAAGATGACCTTTTCACATTTAAAATGCCAAACATTTTCTCACAAAACAGAGAACTGCATTGGACAAGATAATGTCATCAGTTTCCAATGTTTCACTATTAAGGTTTTGGCAACTATTACCTATTGTCTTCTAAAAATGCTTTGCCAATTTATGCTTTCACCTGCACTAGATCAGTGTCTACTGCCTTGCTGGGCATTACCTTTTAACCAATGCAGTAGATGAAAGAAACTTAATACGTTTTGGTGTCTATGTCTACTAGACCCCTATAGAGAGCCCAGGTGTAGGAATTCTTACATTGGCTGAAAGTTCAGATGAATAAATCCGGGCATTAAATAGCACAATGTTTTCCCTGTGCCGGTCTGGACCACTCCTATAAGATCTATTCCTTGCAGTACTATTGGCCACGCCTGCTCCCGAAACAGAACAACAAACACTGAAACAAAAAGTCCATCTCTTTGGTCAACACTTTCTCTTCTCCCATCTCCAGACTTCTCTCCACCAGGATCTTGTGAGTGCTAGCTGGGGGAGTTGCAGGAATGCTAAGACAGTTGCTTCCTGGTGACCTAACTTCCAGGAATCAGGTATCATTGGTGGGGAGGACACTCGGTGAAATATTGGAATTATGGAAAGCATACCTGAATGGGTGTTGGCTTTTGAAAACCTGCCTTTTTAATGTTTTCCATAACCTCAAGATAACACTGAAAGGCATCACCAAACGTGCAAGTAGGGTTGCGGATAGGATGTTTCTCACCCTCTTTCAAGTCATCACACATTATATTAAAATTTTCCTTCCTTTAAAGAAAAATAAAGTAAATATTAGTGACTTTGGTTACTTTACTTTACCCAAGAAAAAACTTCTTCAAAATTGGCTCCGCTCAGACCTAGAAATTCATATATTAAATTGGACAGCTAGGGAAGTCAAATGAAATGTTCTAGATTATACAATCAGTCACCTGCCCAAGGACCGAGCCTTACCTTAACCCTCTTTCTGGTATTTTATTTTATAGCATCTTAGTTTATATTTATTTGTTTGTTTGAGTTGGAGTCTCACTCTGTCACCCAGGCTGGAGTGCAAGGGTATGCTCACAGCCACCACAGCTTTGACCCACAGGTGATCCTTCTGCCTCAGCCTTCCAAGTAGCTGGAATCACAGGTGTGTGTTACCACGCCTGGTTAATTTTTTGATTTACTGTAGCGATGAGGTCTCACCAAGTTGCCCAGGCTGTTCTCAAGCCTGTGGGCTCAGGCAATCCTCTCACCTCAGCCTCCCAAAATACTGGCATTATAGGTGTGAGCCAACGCACTCAGCTACATCTTAGTTTTTATATCAGAATTAATAGTAAAAAAAAATTTGCCATTAACACCTTCCAGTTTCAGCAGTGTGGTGTTTTCTCAAATAGCTAAAAATTGAGCTTCCATATGATCCAGAAATCCTACTTCTGGGAGTATACTCAGAGGAACATAAGTCACTCTGCCAAAAAGACACCTGCATGTGTATGTTCATTGCAGCACTATTCACAATAGCAAAAACATGGAACCATCCCAGATGCCCACTGGAAGTGGACTGGATAAAGAAAATGTGGAATGTACACATGGAATACTACGCAGTCATAAGGAAGAACAAAATTATGTCCTATGCAGCAACATGGATGCAGTGGAGACCATCATTCTAAGTGAACTATCACATTAACAAAAAAACTGAATACTGCGCATTCTCACTCATAAGCAAGCCCTGATCACTGGTCACAGGAGTGCAAATGTGGGAACAGTAGACCTGAGCACTGATAAAGACTGGAGTGTGGGGACAAGGGACTCATAACCGTACACTGGTTAACATGTTTACTACCAGGGTGGAGAAAGGACTTGCTTAACCTTCACCTGCACACAACTTGCTTATGTAGCAAATCCTCAAATGTACCACACAACTCTAAAATAAAAAATAAGGTTGGGCTCGGTGGCTCAGCCTGCAATCCTAGCAATTTGGAAGGCCAAGGCGAGTGGATCGCCTGAGCCCATGGGTTCGAGACCCACCTGTGCAAATTGGCGAGACCTCGTCTCTACAATAAATCAAAAAAATTAGCCCGGTGTGGCAGTGTATGCCTCTAGTTCCAGCTACTTGGAAGGTTGAGCTGGAAGGATCTCCAGAGTCCAGCAGGTCGAGGCTGCTATGGCCGGGAGCATGCCACTGCACTCCAGTCTGGGCAACAGAGTGAGACTCCAACTCAAAAATAAATAAATAAAATAAAATAAATAAAAAATAAATCTTCCTATTTCAGATGACAAGGACTGAAGAGTTTAAGAACGTAGTCAGATGGAGATCCCATCATTTCATTCTCAATTCTTAAGTACTGGAGAAATAGAGAAGCTGCTCTGCTCCCCACAGCAAGGACCAGGTACATGTGGCTATTGGAATTTAATTAAATATTCACTTGCTCAGTTACACTAGCTAAACTTTCAGTGCTCAACAGTTACTCCATTAGACACAAATACAGATGCATATCTTCATTGGTGGTAAATCTGGGGCAAAAGGAAAAATTCACACTTTGATAATGAAAATTTACATTTCATTAACACTTAGTCACAGCTATAGAAACTAGATTGAAATACATCCTAGTTACCACACAGTTTCAGATAGCATTACCTGTCATCAGCCGGGCTTCTGCCCTTCTAAGAGATCTCCTTTTTCTAGTTTGTCTTTCAATCACATTTTCCACCCATTACAGAATGGATCTATAGTGTTCAAGTTTAAAACAAAAGCATGCTTTGCAAGACATAAAAGCACCACAACTGATGAGTCTACTCTCAATCATAATGCTTAGACTGCTTTTGTCTTCTCTTTGAAGGTCTATCCCATTTCTTTTTAGAAATTAAATTGACATCCTTGGCCTACACTCTGAAGCTTCATTTCTTAAATGCCTAACTCATCTTAAATCCTTTCTCTGGTCTCCCATCCTCAGTCTCCCAAGCAAGGCAAATTGTCAAGGCAGCACTGGAAACTTAACATGCAGAGGTGCAGACCTCCATGGCAATAATCACGAAATATTCTGGCAACATATTATTAGTGTGTTAGCTTTTCATTGTCAAATAAAAGATGCTATATTGCTGCCTTGTTCTGATAGCCATGACTAATGCCTGAACAGTGAAAGATGACCCAACATATGTAAAGTTCCATGTAAGAAACTTCTAAAATTCAAAGACCGCTGGGCACGGTGGCTCATGCCTATAATCCCAGCACTTTGGAAAAACAAAGCGGGAGAATTGCATCAACCCAGGAGTTTGCAACCAGCCTGGGAAACACAGCAAGACCTTGTCTCTAAAACACACACACACACAAATCCCAAAATTTGCCAGGCATGGTGGCACATGTCTGTAGTCCCTGCTACTTGGCAGGCTGAGGCAGAAGGATTGGCTGTGAGCATGCCCAGTATTCCAGCTTGGACAAAAGAGTGAGACCCCAACTAAAAAAACTCTCCAACTCTCTTAAGAATTGCTATGCTTCTTATAATGGAAAGGTTTTCCTTTGTTATTTTGCCCTTGTCAATTATCACACTAGATGATCAGTTTCTGTTCTACAGCAACAATGTTTACTAATGGTTTGCATGTTTATTCCCTTCACACTATCCCCATGGACTTAATTTTCTATCTTATTAATCTTTTGCACTGAGTCACCTCAAATAAGACAGGCTATAAATCAGTTTAATATTTAATATCCCACTAAAGGCATAAATCATAGCAGACGACATAGAATCAATCATGACATAGGGACTAACTGGAGCATTTTCAATTTTATCATTTTTTATAGAGATTTCATTACTAAAAATAAGGCACAGACATGTTACAGATGATAAAAACTGCAGTTAAAAGAAACAATACGTTCCAATGCAACACTGACCTGCCCATTTTTTCTTTTGCCATTTTGAACCTTCCTCTCTAATTTGATCCCAATCTATCAATGTCCGATCTCCTGCAACAATGATGTCATCAGCGCTTTGACCTTTTCTAACAAACAGTTGGAACTCAACAATATCCGTCAAAAGCATTTTTAATCAGGTTAGTTTTTTCTGTTTTTTAATAATCAGACAATAATGCTTGAAATATAACATCTGGAGTTTCCACAGTACATTACCATGACAATCTAGTCAGTGTTTTTGTCATCATTTAGCAACTTATGAGAAGTCTGATTTATTGGAGAAGGGAAGGAAAGTAGCAGAGTCGAGTGTGATGCTAAAATACTGTCACACACATTGCTTAGTCTTTACAGTGCTGCTAGGAGGTAGATATCCCAGGTTAACAAATTCTGCAATGGGCCCAAGTCAAGTTTTCTCCCAGAAAACATTAAGAGGCAATACTGTCTTCTGAACCTAAGTCTCCATTCTACTACCAAGTTGTGTAGATACGTTCAATGGCTTTGTCTCTATGCCAACCACATCTGAGATTTAAAATTTACTGAATTAAATATTTAAACAGTTTTCAACATCAGGCGTGGTTCTGGGGAAAGTCCATAATCAGAAGCCCAGGACCACTCCTTACTCTACCTTTATTTCTAAAGTTAGGTATATTAAAATGCTGTCATTTTTACTTACTACATTTGGCTAAAAAGTAAGATGGCTAGGCTTAACCACAGAATAAGTAGTTTTAACTTAAGAAAAAACAAATATTATGGGCGTTAATAGCAAAGAGAATATTTCAGATTAGATTGCTGGCAATGAAATGCTTTGTATCAGAAAAGGAAATCAGGTATAATGGCTTAAAACATGGAATGAAATTTTTAACATCTTCAGTAAATGGTGGTGGGAAAACTGGCTGACCACATGCAGAGGAAAAAAAAAATCTCAAAGGGCTGTAGTGGGCAAATTACTCACCAATTCCACATTCTGAATTGTCATCTTCTTGTTTTTTAACAAAATTATCTATCACTGCTTTTGCATTTGTTGGCACTGCCTTGTTGCCAAAAATTTTGACTAGTGTTAGTGGATGACCTTTTATTATCTAGATACAAGGGGAAAAATAGGTGAGACTCACGTTCCCTTATACCCACAAACAATTACTCAACTGCAAAAAGCATAAAAGTATAAGATCACCATGTAAATTTCTAATGAGGGGAATTCAACTTATATCCCTCTGAGATTTACCTCCTGGCTTATCCAACCTATCTAGGAGGAGCAGGACACTATAAATTAAACAAGTGACAGCTATGGAATAAAATCAGAAAATAATGTAGATGGAAAATTATCACATTAATCTGACAGGTGATATTTTGAATCAGTTCTCATACCTGTAAAACATAAAAATTTATTTGGCTAATCTTACAGTATTGTGGAGCTCAGGGGGATCAGCCTATGTGCTGTGTAGAGTTTGCTGAGCTCAGATTACTCAGTTTAACTGGACAACAGTCTATACTTACACAAGTATACTGTTATGGAGGTAAGTTTATAAGGCTGATGTGACATTTTGTTGCTAGAAGCTACAAATAACACCTTCAAACATGCATCGTTTCAGATACCTGTACTGATTCAATGTTTGTCCAGAAACTACTATACATTGAGTTATCACCAGGGTGTACAAGCACATGCAACTCTGTGAAAGTGCTGACACGAGACAGCTAGGAGATGCTGAGGGGAAGGAAAAGAGACACCCACATAGAATGAGGGAGGTCTTAGACTTCCCCAAGGAAGTGGTAACTAAGCTTACCTGAAAAATGAGTAAGAATTATCTATCAGGAGACAGTTATAGTAGCCGAGTGTGTCAAGAGGGAGAGGAGCACTCAAGAGAGTCTAGAGAGAGGAGATTGGAGAGTGTAAACAGGTCAGATCAAGTCAGTCAAGGTAGAATCTGGATTTAAGTTCCTGAGATACTGTGACAGTTTTTTATACACGGAAAGGACATAACACATAATTCTGACTGACCATGGTGGAGAATGGCTAGAGAGGACAAAAAGAATGCAAATAAGATGTACAGGCCAGGTGCAGTAGCTCACACCTTTAATCCCAGCACTTTGGGAGACCAAGGCAGAAAGACCACTTGAGGCCAGGAGTTCAAGACCAGTCTGGGCAATGAGAAAGGTCAATTAGAAAGATAAGAAAAAAGAAGCAGAAGGCACAGTGAGGGGAGAATGCAAATGATGGCGTGCCCCCTGAGAAGTACAAGAAACAGACAAGATGCTACTGGATGGGGTGAGCGGAGGAAGTGCTGAGGAAATCTGCGATTTCTGGCTTGAGAACTCAGGGAGTGATGCCATTGCTTGTTCAGAACACAGAAGCCAGTCAAAGTGGGAGGAAAGGGATTCTGGAAGGGAGTCATTTGGGACATGATAAATATTCCAGAGGTCTTACTCTTATGGAGATTATCACTAAAGATTTTCGCCTCCGATTTACAGCCTGCCCTTTGGAACTTTGGAGCTCTGGAACTCCGGGTCCACCCTGGCTGAGGCACACAGCGTGAGACCCCAACCCAGAGGACCCAGACAAGCAGAGAAAAACAGACCTGCTTAAACTGCCTTGCCATTCTCCAGGAAGAGACTTCCATTGCCCTGCCCACCTAGCAACCAACTTTACCTCATTTCCTAAGGCCAGGTATTGCAGCGTGCGGGGAAGTTTTGGGTCCCTGCTCCCTCCAGCTCTCTCCCCGGCCCGGCACCCGGCACCGCAGGTCGCACAGGGAGGCTCTGAGCGCCCGCCCCTCAGAGACACCGGTTCCATTACTGGCTGAATACTCTGTAGGGACCCAGTGCCACTCTCGTCATTTACAGCCTGCCTTTTGGAACTTTGGAGCTCTGGAACTCCGGGTCCACCCTGGCTGAGGCACACAGCGTGAGACCCCACGCCAGAGGACCCAGACAAGCGGAGAAAAACAGACCTGCTTAAACTGCCTTG